ATATGCTTTGTAAGTGTAGTAATTCTGCAAGACAGTACGAGTACACATTCTCTCAGGAACGGAAAGGTCCTTTTACCCAACATACAAAATAAACTGAAGCTTTGCGGGACCCCATAGTCCGGTCGCGTCGTGTCTACATACTTTACGGTTCCAACGATTACGGCGCGATCATTGCCATGAGTCCTCGTACCTGGTCGGGTGTCACCCAAAGGGAAGAGAGGACGGGAGATTCATAAAAAGGTGAGATCGAGTAGGCCTTACGAAACTGAATCAAGATTTAACATTATGGTGGTTTATGCAGCCATGAGACGTTTTAACAACTTCAAATGTTGACATCCTCATGTTTACTTTACTGTTCAAACACCTCAACCACACATTGGTTTGCTTGCATTTGTGTTGGTTGGGATGCATGATAGCTTTACCTCTCAGTTCATCAGTATGTGGTTTCTTTCTGTCTGTTCTACATGCAGAAAACAGTCCTGGTTCAGGGGGACAATGAGAGACTTTTACACATTCAGGGGGTCATCAAAGAACTGCCGACACCTCACTTCAGGTGAACTTCTTTAAACTCTCATCCATAAAGAATATTTCACAACTGGCTTGTAAATATTATTATAATGCTGTAATAAATGTGTTTGTGATCCCCATCAGGACTCTGGAGTACCTTACTAAACACCTGGCCCACCTTGCCACCTTAAGTACGACAACAAACATGCATACCCGTAACCTGGCCCTGGTGTGGGCTCCAAACCTATTAAGGTGGGTTTAGCGTGCCTGCTGAACTTTATATATGAATCTTGAAAATAATTGTTTTACTCCTTTAGGTTAAGGTATCCATACTTGAATTCATTCTTGTTTTTATCTATTATTTTGTCAGATCTAAAGACATTGAGGCGTCAGGTACTAATGGAGACATGGCCTTCCAAGAGGTGCGGATACAACAGTCAGTGGTTGAGTTTATTCTGAACCACAGAGAGGAGATCTTCAGCGGTTCGGCCCAAATAAAACCCAAAGAAGGTATCACATTCAACCAAATCAAAGAAAATACAAATGCATTTATGCGATATTTCTAGGGCCTGATCATCCATGAAAAGACTGATTTATTTGACTTATTTTGCCGTTAATAACTGTGCAATATGCCTGGCTGCTATGCTATACCCTCAGAACTGTTATAGGATGTGTATTTTGTAAATTGTGTAACTTTTATTATAAAAATTTTTTTGTATGCATGCTTCTTAGGTAACATACTGTAAAGCTGTCCTTGGCTCTTTTCTGCTGTAACAATGTACATTTCCCTTCTGTGGGACTAATAAAGGTCTTCTGATTCTGATTCTCCAGGACCAAGTTTGAAGTGTGAGGAGACCTACGCCATGCTCCCAATCAGCGGCCAGTGTGGGCCGATGAAGCTGATGAGCCTAGAAGAAGCCCAGGCCCGCTCCTTGGGTCCAAACCACCCGGTGCACAGAGAACGTCAGCGAGAGAACAGCCTGCCTAACACCAGCACTGCCACGCTCTACCACACCGTCATAGACATATCAGACAGCAAGTATGACACATTTATGTTCAGTCCATTGAGAGATGATGTAAGTACTTTATATGTATAACGGTCACAACAATCTGTGGAATGTCTTAATCTCTTTGTCTTAAAGGAGAAAGTTTTCTGGGAAATCCAAGAAATGGAAGTCCATCTTCAACTTGGGAAAGTCTGTGGAAAGGGGAAAACTGAGCCGGAATGGAAGTGTGTTCATAAGAGCACAAGGGACCGGTAAGTTCTCCCAGAGGAGGGTTTTAAACAGATGTACAGCCTCCATAACCTTATGTTCAGTCAGACTGTATTCATATTATTTTCTCCTACAGAAAAGGCAGCTCTTCGTCCATCCAGGAGCATGGAGTCCTTATGCTCCTTACCAACAGGTGGGGCTAAAACCCTATGCTTTATAGAAACACAGAGCAACTTCCATGTTGTATTGTAACATGTAATGTTATTTTTACCATGCAGATGATGACAGAACAGGAAACAACAGCCCAGCTGGTGGATCTGGCAGCCTTTTTGGTCAGGATGTGAAATCCAGAACGCTGGGATCTGACTTGCTCTATGACCTGAGCGAACATGACCAGAGCTGGGAGTATAAGGAGACAAAATCTGACGGGGCAACGGGCGGCTGGAGCTCAAGAATTTACCAAAAAGGGTCAACAGGTTCCTCTGCACCCCCCCAAAAAACACTTCCAGAGCAACTGAAGGTTTACAAAGGTGATGAAGTCAGTGGATACAAGCCCACCTCGCCGAAAAGCAGGCGGATGTTGTACTCGGGCTCATCCCAAAACAGCTCCTCTCGGCCCTCCTTCCCAGGAAGCTTCTTCCCGCTGGAGTCTTCTCCGAGGCATCAGCGCAGGGCCGTCAACATATCTGAGCCTTTTGCCGTGTCTGTACCTCTGCGTGTGTCGGCTGTTATCAGCTCCAACAGCACGCCGTGCAGGAGCCACGCCAAGGACAAAGCAGCTACTCTGAAACCCTTCAAGGAGAGCTCAGAGCAGAGCAGCAACAGTGGAAAGAGCAACACGTTCCCTCTGCTGGAACCAAGGAAGCAGGAAGGAATGGAGCGGAAAAAGAAAGCCGAACCGATATCCAGGGTCCCTCCAAAGGGTGAGGACATTTTCCATTATCACATTTCATAAAGGCTTGTTATGTGACATTGAAATCAAATGCTACATGTGTAAATAATGTTGTGTTCTTTGAAAAACTCAGATGCAAGCAAAGAAGTGGTTAAAGAAGGTCAAAGAGGGATGAATACTTCTGTACTTGAAGCAGCATCCCCGGCTAATGCAAGGGACGGCAAAGACGCAGCGCCCTCTCCTGGGAAAGAGGACAACCAGCTGACAACCATCCAACTGGTAAGTCCTGGAGGTAGTTGTGCTTAACTTAAGCAGAATTGCAGACACCTTTTTGCATTAGGGCTAAAGTCTTCAGTGGATTTGATCAACAAATTACAGTTAGGTTTAACAGGGATACCAGAGTCATACTTTGGCTCAAACTCGCATATTATATTTATTTGGTTTTAGATTTACAAAGATTAACTAAATTAGTTGTAAGCTGTATATTAATTAACAACTATTTTGAATATCTTGAAGTCGTTTTTTTTAAGAAAAGAAAATCCAAATACTCTTATTCAAGCTTCTTTCGTTGGAATGTTCTGGTTTGTTATCGTTTAAAGTTTGTGAAAACACTGAATTTCATTTTTTTTTTTTTACCATTTTATGACATTTTATAAAACAAACAGCTAACCGATAAAAGCATGAATGAAAACAATAGTTAGTGCCAGCCTTAGAATCACTGTTGTAATCCTTTCTGTCTGGTTTCTATCTCAGGATAAGGGATCTTCTACTGGGAAACAGCCGTGGACTGACCTCAAACAGGAACTGAAGATAACTGAACCTGAGATCGACCTGCTGGACGAGACTTTTAACCCCATGTTCAGCTCCAAGGGCACGTTTGAGGGCACGAGGTTAACAATGGATGTTAAGTCAAAGCGAAGCCGCAGCTCTCCGTCTCTGTCTTTGTTATTCAGGGAGCAGTCTTCAAATACCTCTTTGAGTGACCGTGTAATCGCCACCGGAGACTCCGCACAGAAACAGCCCTCAGGGTCAGACATTTCCATTCACAAAAACACCCAAATCACCCCTCCTGCTGACCTCTTGGATGAGAGAAAGAAGAAGCTACATCTGAAAATCACACCCTTACGCAAAGATGACACCAAACAGGGTCGAAGTATTTTAAAGGAAACAGATAAAGTTGTAAATCCTTTGACGATAGAGGATACTCCAGCGGTTGTAGGCTTCTTAGGAGCAGACGATGCCAACAAGAAATCAGAAGAAAGCAAAGCTCCTCAAGGAGAGAAACGAATCTCCTGTGATGGAGCAAAGAAAGATTTGATTCCAGAAGTGATTCAAAGGCTGTCGGTGTGTTTGGAGGAAAAACGTAAGACTTTGGATCTGCCAAACCTTGGCGAAAGAAGTGGGAGAAACTCCGAGGAGCTGGACTTGGTTGAGTCTTGGGAGGACTTTAGCTCCACTAAGTTATGGGTTACCAGTCCTCTCCACTCACCGGACGTGGAGGAGTTCTTAAACCGACTATCGCCCTTCTGCTCTGTGGGGGAAACTCACATTTCATCTGCTTCAGTTGATAACATCAAACAGTCGCTTGTTAAAAACACTGAGCACCCCTCAGGCAGCTTTCCTCTGACTACCAGTAGCAAACCAGAGACTAAATGGACGTGTTTGCCGCCGGGGGTCAGTGTGAACGGCAGTAACACAGCACAACCTCACGCAGGAAAAGCAAAACAGAAGAACACAGTGTCATCTCAGAGGTTGTACAGACAGATGTCTTATGAGGCGGAGAAAAGAGAAGAAAACAGCTATTCTAAACACCGACCGTATTCACTCAATTTGGACCTTGGGAATCGATGCATCAGAGACATTTCTAATCAGCAAAACCGTCATTCACCAGAGTTCTCCTCAAGTCAGAGAGGACTACTGACCTCCTCTGAATCTGTAGCCAGCAGGCTGCCCTCAGAGCTGGAGTTGTTTCTGAGTGATCGGCAGGCTCCCCTACGCAGAAATTCTGCCCCGGTGAGCGTGTCATCGGTGCGAACAGCCTTCATGATCAAAACCTGCCAGGCCAAAGCCGTGCCCGTCGTCCCTCCAAAGGTGCAGTACAGTCAGATACCTCCCTCCAGACATGAGAAGGACTTTGACGAAACCAAGGAACAAAAAAAGGAAGGTCCTAAGACGACCGTAGAGAAAAGCAACGCGGCACTTGCTCCGGTGATGTCCGATCTCAAGGAGGGGCTGGAGAATAAAGCGCCTGAACCCAAACACCAAAAACTCCCACTTGTTGCCGAGTCTCCGAAGGCCACATCTACTCCAGAGCTGCCAGTCATCAGGAGGAGACACCCGCCCAGTTTGGAAGTGTTTGTGGACTGTCCCAGACCTAACAGAGGGAACATCCATCAGAGGCCGTCCTTTAGGAACAGGCAGAGACCTCAGAGCCTCATCCTGCTCAGCCCTCCTTTTCCCATCATGGACTATCCTCCCTCAGGAGACGACAGCAGGCTCCTCTCGTCCATCAAGAGCCTGGATGAAACGTCGGCAGTGAATGTCTTTTCGAAAGAGATGGCGGAGAATTTCAGGACACCGGAGGGGGTCGCCCTTCAAAACAAAATGACTATTCCAAAAAGTGGACAGAGACTGGAAACGTCAACCAGCTGCTTCTACCAGCCGCAGAGGAGGTCCATGATATTCGACAGCAGGAGCCACAGACAGATTGAGTGACTGGAGGGGAAAGCACTGACTGTGAGACTGGCTGTGTGTAAATACATAAAGTATATACGAGGACACTCAGGAGGATGATATGGTAACCTAAGGTTAATACAGGCATTTTGTTTGCTATGATTCAGGCGTTTCTTGAGGGCTTTGTGAAAAGAGATTCTGAAGTATTTGAGTGAATGAAGCCATAATGTATGTGAAAGCTTGATTGAGATCTAGGAATGCCATTTTTTTTTTTTTAATCATCTATTACGCTGCAGACAAGTCAATTAATTGTCGAGTATAGAAAATATCAGACAATGCCAAAAAAAAGGGAAAAGGGAAGTTTCCTAGCGTCCAAGATATTCAGTTATACAGATCAACTCATAAGACTTAAGGTGCTAGCTAGCTTTTCAGAAAGTTTCAGCCACATATCATAGTCTCTCAGCTCTCATCAAGAAAACTCCATCCACTTAAGAAGACTATGAGAGGTGGTTTAAATCTGTGGAAGAAGCTAGTAAGTTGACTTGAAGGTAGGGGTAGGTCATTTTGGAGAAACCAGCTCGAGTGCGCTAGGATTTGAAAATACACAACCGGAACAAATCTGCCACTTCCTTCCAGAGCCCCTCCTCCAACACACACGAACGCACACATGACCAATGAGGGCACGAGATAAGTTTGTGCACAGATGGAAGGCTAACAGGCAGGTAGGCCATCCAGTTATTTTAGCCGGGCCGGCTCAGATGATTGGTCGTGCTTTTTACAGTACTACAGCTTCCACAGATGATATTTTTTATGGATTTTTTGTCAAAGCACTTGAGATATTCATTGCTATCGGGATGTTAAGAGCATTCCATGGAATATAAGAAAAAGTGTATCTCGAGCCGGTTTCTCAAACTTACCTACCCCTCCTGTTATTATGTCTGGATGTCATTTTATATTTTACTTTTTATACTATTTTCCCAAAAAAAGGTTTGTTAAACTGGAAGGGCACTTGGGGTGCAGAACTTCACCAAAGCCACATTTATCACATTTGAATCCAGTCAAAAATGCTGACCTAAGCTACTCCTTTTCACAGAGTTTCATGAAAATCGGGAGAATAGTTTTTACTTAACCCTGCTGACAAAACATATGTCCAAACTGAATTTACCCTCAAACATTAAGGGCTAAAGGTTAACAGCCATGAATTTAAACATGTAGATGAAAATGTGTTTATTTATTCCTTTATTAACATACACACGATATAAAGTAAACTTCATATCGTTATACTGTATATTGGCTCCGCAGTAAGCTGAATGTGATTTAAGAAATATATATATTTAAAAGGACTTCTCTAAATACAGTATATATCGCAAACTCAATTTAGATAGTATTTACCCATGGAAGAGCTTTAATTCATGTGTATCTTTATTTTCAGAAATTGCTTTGTATGTTATGGCCATTTTTATTTGTTGTTTGTTTTTTGACAACAACAACAAGCAGCATTGTAGTAAGGATTCTGTGCTGATGCTGCTGTGCTGACATTAAACTGGATTTGACTTTGTGCACGCTGACTGTATTTCATGTGTTTTGAGTCAAAATCAGATGACGGTATCTCGAGGTTTGTGCCTCTTTTCTTTGATTTAAAAAAAACACGGGATTTGTTGTTTTTAGCTTTGGGGCCCATGATCATAACAGTCTGAATGTTAAAGGAGGCTACAGAGTATTTTCTAAAGATGTGGATGTAAATGAAGACAAAGTGTTTTTATACTTTAGCTTGGATGGACTGGATGAATGATTAAGGTGTTTTATAAGGAAAAGGTTTAAGACATTAGATACAAGTTGTTGTTATTTTTGCTTTGTAACTTTTGTATACTTGTTGATACTGAAAATGATGGATCAAAGCGTCTGTATTCATAGGAAAAAGAACTGAAGTGAGAATTTTGAGAGTTTGCCGTAATTATCTGTTGTCGGCCTTTGAAGTGATGTACATAGGACACTTGATGCATTTTGTTACAACCAAAAGTAAAGAGAATAAAATGTTCTGAAATCAAATGAGTCTGAGGTTCTGCTCAAACATGGCTTACATTACAAAACATACAAGGAGTTACAATTCTAACAGACCCTTACGTCTAAAAAAAAGATTTGATATTGTTTAATTTCACTTGAGGTGTCCACTTTGATGAGGAGATTTTTAACAGTTTTCTTTTGACTACTCTGGGGGTTCATTTGAAAACTTATATACACAAACTTCTTCTCTGAAGGACCTGGTAATCCAAAGATGAGAGTACTGAGAGATAAGAAACAAGAGAACTATGAAGATTCTTGAACAATCACATCAAATATGAGCTTGACGATTTTGTGAAACCAACTTTACTGTACAATAGAAAAAACTCATGTTACTAACTTTCCTCTGAACAGTTGTCATTTCTTCCTCCTATATCTCCCTCAATATAAATAGTAGCTTATGCACTGATTCTAGATATTGGGCTACGCTTTTTTCCACTTTCTCTTTGATGAATTTCACCAATCACGTATGGAAAAATTGTCCCAAAATTCATACATATTCAAGGTTTTGCCAAAAAAGTGTTTGGTTTGTTAGTCCAACGGTTAATAACTAAAAGGTTCTGTCATTATGTTGTCATTGCATCATGATTTTGGATGGAAATGCTTTCTGTTTCCTGAGAAACAAGACACTTTTCATACAGTCTTTCAGAAAGAAACTTTAAATCCAGTCTTTCAGAAAGCCTCTCACTCAGAGGACATATATATATATAAAAGAGGTTGTGACGCCGTTGTGTGGATAAGAAGTATTCAAAGGGGGCCCCGAGAGTGATGGGGCCCTTTGGAAATCAGATGGGATTCTGTACTACCCCAACATGGTGGGACCAAGAGCAATGTTTTGTTTGTTCTTATGAGCGATAGTTTACAATTCACACTGTATTTTTAAGTGAAATTGTTATTTTAACTAATACAACTTTTTGTTGTAAATATTTCCAAACTATTGTTGTTGTTTATCACCCCGTTGCCACCAGAGGGCGCCCCTGCTCCACACTGCACATCAGAGCGAGCCACTAAACTGCAGATAAACAGGCAGAAAGTGAGAGTGCTTTGGGCACATTAGGTGCTCCAAGTACTGCAAATATACTGTGGTCAATAAGAGAGTTTATCGGTCTTTATCTACAGATGGAAACACTGTCGCTTTGTGAGCCATGCCCAAAACGTTCCGCGTCTACGTGCGTGTGCGCGTGAGCTGTGCGCGCGTATTAGTGCGTGCAGCTTCTCTTCACCAACGAACTTGCACTTGCGTCTCTCGTGCTTTTTCAAAATGACTTCCACTTAAAGTTGCCTGATTTCGGTAGTGCCAAACTACAATAAAGTACATCATTGCCACAGAGTGTTAAACTGCACAAATCACGTCTGATGTTTGCCAAATCCATAAACAAAATAAAATACAATTAAACAACGCAGTAGATCACATGCATTAAGGACTAACGAGTCACGATGCACTACAAGTGTTTGTTTTTAGGGGCTCCTTAAACATAGATTACTAATGTAAAGCCAAGGTGCAATAAAGAACTAGACCTACACGTATATTAAATGAGATAGTCCTATTTGGAAATTACTGCCTTCATTTATATAAGTCATGAGTGTATGTTAAATGCATTTAATTGTTTGTTTTGGTTACCTTAGTGACGCAGTGGGCCTCTTGTTCCCAGTTGTCTCGGCTGAGTCTGATATGCACGTGCACATGTGGCATGAATGAGGGGAACAGTAGTTAAACGATGAGTGTAAAAAGAGTCCACTTTAATTGTATCCAAATGTCACATCAAATATTTGGACCAAAGTCCCATTCAGCAGCCTTCACTTTGGAGCAGTGGTTGCGCTTGCAGAGGTCACTTCCATGTCTGCGCAGTTCATTATTTGTCGACCTTTGACACTGCTTGTGTATGGACCGAGAATTAAAAAGGCGTTTTCTCAAGCACGCTGAAAAAAAGGCAAGCAGAGCGCGCGTTGAATATTCAATAAGAGGGGGGGAAAGTGAGGAGAAGTGAAGCTGCGTGCCAGTCCTTCATCTTACATTACTGATTAGCTGTTAAACAGATTATACACAGCTGAACGGGTTCAAATGTTGCAGTTGAAAACAGTCGGAGTTCAAGGCAGTGCCGAGCGGTTTCCTTCCCCTCCACTTCAGCAGCCTGTAGGCTACACACTTTGTCCCCACTAACAACTCCATAATGAAACATGTTGCTGTTCCATTTTGCCCACTTAAACCGCAATCCTTTAAAAAAACAAAACCACACACATCAAGAAAATTACACTGTTTCGAATCTATCGATGTTTGTCGAGTAGTTTGGATGAACCACATGTATGTACCAACATATTGTAAAAAAATACCTGTTTGTGCAACACACTAAGCAGAATTCCTATTATTCACGAGGTTATTGCAAAAGTAAAACAGTTGTAAAATGTAAATTCATTCACAAAAAAACTCCCATTTCTATATTCATATCCTTCCAATTCACTGGCGAAAACAGCTGTACGCAAAATACAAAACATCTCCAAACCCCTTAAAGTAGTAAAATATCTACATAAAAGTGCATTAAACGTACAAATGCTTGTTTAAAAGACATCCCCTTGAGAAAAAGCCTCCCCTCTTCCAACAATAACTCACTACTCTGCATTTACAAGCGAGGTTTGAAGCCTGGAGCAGCAGGTGTTTGTCCTTTAAAAGTGGGTAAACAAGCTCTTTAAAAGTGTACAAAAGTGTTAAAAAGTTTATAAACTGTTTCGTTAAAGTTGCTATGTTAACATGTTGGGTTTACTAAACACATTTACTAAGCTAGATAAGTTTAAAGTAGTTGAATGTGCAGTGCCATAGCAAGCCACGCGGGTCCAAAAGAGCTCTCATTGAGAAGCCACGTGTCCGTTTCCAAAGCCTCTCCAACTTAACCACCTCCTTTGTACGACTAACCCACATCGGCAGCGTCCCTCCACATAAAGGGATTTGCAATTTCAAGATATTTCAGCTTAAATGTTTTTGACAG